AACACATTCGAGTTTGTCAAAATCCCTCTTAAAGTGAGGAGACCAAAATAGAAAATATATCACAGATGTTTTCTAGAATGACCTGAACACTGACTTTTTCTAATGTGGCTACAATTCCTTGGCCTTTTGAAAACCCCCCTTCATTCTGCTATATGAGCATGGTCTTTGCAGTCAGACCCAAGTTCATATAGATAAATGATTCTGTAATCTTGGACAAGTTGTTTCATGTCTCTGAACCCTAACTTCATCTGTGAAACAGAGATAATCATTATTTTCTCATAGATTTTTTTTGGCAAGGGTGAAAATATATGACATGTGTAAAGCATCTACTGTATACCAAGTACTATGCTAAAGGAACAGTACTTGGTACATAGCAAATGCTCAAAAAATTGCTATTGGGCCAGGCACAGAGGCTCACACCCAGAATTTTGGGAGGCTGAGGTGGGCGGATCACTTGAGGTCAAGAGTTTAAGACCAGTCTGGCCAATATACAAAAGCAGGTTTATGCCTGTTCCCACTTTTCAGCAGTTGTTTAATGAGTTGCGAATAGATCTCACTGCATTGACACCTTACACAAATGCTATCATCTTGCCACAAGCACACCCTAAGAGAAAAACCAGAGGATAAATTTGTCTCTGACATTCCCCAAATCTATTTGCCTAGTAACTCTGTTACATAAGAAAATATCTGCTATGATTTAATGAATTTATACTGGCTCTCAATGCTCATTTTCTTTTCTAATTATTTATAAGTCATCTCGATAATAATTCACAGTATGCCTTTTCCTCCTCCTTCTTCTTTGTATTAGACAAAATAATAATGGCTCCCCAAATATGTCCATATCCTAATGCCACAGCCTACGACATTGTTCCTTCCATGGCAAAGGGACCTTATGGATGTGATTTTAAGGTTAAGGACTTTGACATAAAAGGGCAGCCTGAATTATTCAATTGTCCAATCTAATTGTATGAGTCTTTTTTTTCTTTTAAGATGTGAGTTTTGCTTTGTCGCCTAGGTTGGAGTGCAGTGGCATGGTCTGAGCTCACTGCAACCTCTGCCTCCCGGGCCTCAGCCTCCTGAGTACCTGAGATTATAGGGGCCTGCCACCAAACCTGGTTAATTTTTTTTTTTTTTTTTTTTTTTTTTTTTTTTTTTTGGTAGAGATGTGGTTTCACCATGTTGGCCAGGCTGATCTTGAGCTCCTGGCCTCAAGTGATCTGCCCGCCTTAGTCCCCCAAAGTGCTGGAATTACAGGTGTTAGTTACTGTGCCTGGTCTAATCACATGAGTCTTAAAAGCAGAGAACCTTTTTTAGCTGTGGTCAGGGGGTGATCAAGTTCCCTGAGGGAGGTGCAATGTCACGCGCTGGCTTTAATGGAAGAGGACGAGGACCACAAGCCAAAGAAAGTGGGCAGTCTCTAGAAGCCAGAAAAGGCAGAAAACAGATTTTCCTCTACGGTCTCCAGAAGGGAATGCAGCTGTGCCAAAACTTGATTCAGCCCAGTGAGACCTGTGTTGGACTTCTGGCCTTCAGAACTGTAAAATAATAAATCTGTGTTGTTTGAGGCCCCAGAAGTGGTAACTTGTTATAGCAGTCATAGGAAACTAATACCTTCTCATCATCCTTCTCTTCTTTCGTGAATTCATACTTGAAGTTAACACAGATTTTTCTTCAATTTCACTTTTGGCCAACTGGGGCTTAATTTGGCCGAGGCAAAGGAGACAAGGATAAGTGTGGTGAACAGCAGGAAGTCATTAGTTAATCTCTCAATAACAAATCATTCTTGTCTCTCCATTCATGTAGGTTGCAATGACATGTCTCTGTAGCAAAACTTTGTTGGAATAGTAATCGCTTTGACTACATAACTATGTTTCATTTTTTTAATTGAGATAAGGTCTTGGCTAGGCATGGTGGCTCACACCTGTAATTCTAGCACTTTGGTAGGCTGAGGGGGGCAGATCGTGAGGTCAGGAGTTTGAGACCAGCCTGGTCAAATGGTGAAACCCTGTATCTACTAAAAATACAAAAATTAGCTGGGTGTGGTGATACACGCCTGTAGTCCCAGCTACTTGGGAGGCTGAGGCAGGAGAATCGCTTGAACCTGGAAGGCAGATGTTGCAGTGAGCCGAGATTTCTCCACTGCACTCCAGCCTGGGCAACAGAGCAAGACTCTGTCTCAAATAAAAGAGACAAGGTCTCGCTTTGTTACTCAAACTGGAGTGGTGTGAACATGGCTCACTGCAGCTTCAACCACCTGGGCTCAAGTGATCCTCCCACCTCAGCCTTTCAAGTAGCTAGGACTACAGTAGCATCACCATACCTGGCTAATTTTTTGTTTATTTGTAAAGAGGAAGTCTTACTTTTTGTCCAGGCTAGTCTTGAACCCCTGGGTTCAAGTGATCCTCCTGCCTCATCCTCCCAAAGTGCTGGGATTACAACTATATTTCTTTTTTAAAAAAAAATCTATAAATGTGGCCAGGCATGGTGGCTCACACCTGTAATCCCAGCACTGGGGAAGGCCGAGGTGGCGTGGGGGGTTGGGGGGAAGGTCACAAGTTCAAGAGATCCAGACCATCCTGGCCATCATAGTGAAACCCCATCTCTACTAAAAATATCAAAGTCCTAGCTACTCAGGAGGCTGAGGCAGGAGAATCATTTGAACCCAGGAGGCAGAGGTTGCAGTGAGCCAAGATCATGTCTCTGCACTCCAGCCTGGTGACAGAGCGAGACTCAGTCTCAAAAAAAAAAAAAAAAAAAAAAATCTAAAAATTCATCTAGTCTTCACTCCCTTGTACTTCTGATGTAAATCAACAAAATTCGGTGTGACTTGCTAAATATATTCTATCCTTACAACCTGTACAATGTTATTGTGGAAGCTCCACTTGTGAGCCAGAGCCCAACTCTGTCACTTACCAATTTTATCTTTCAATAGTTATTTCTGTCTTTCTGCACCTCAGTTTTCATACCTAGAAAAATAAGGACATTTGATGAGATGTCTAAATTGCTGTGTTTTATTGGAATATAGACAAAAAAATTTGTTTCCCTGTTTCTTTGCCAAAAGAATAAACTGATTAAAATATATTACTTCATTCCTTTGTTCATGCCAGTCCATTTACATGAAATGCACTCTCCTCCTTTATTTTCTTCTGCCACTTATATTTCCAGCTAGTAAAATGCTCCTCTGCTTTCAAGTCCAAAATCAAATGCCACTCCTAATGAAAACCTCCTTGATCACAGCATCAGGAGTTAATCTTGCTGTCCTCTGAAATACTACAGCACTCATTTCCTGTAGGCTTATCACATGCTGTTATTCCCCTTTGTTGCCATGTCTTGACACTCCAACCAGACTGCAGCTTCCTGGAGATGGGACCATGTTCCTTGTCTGCCAATCACAAGTGTTGAGTAAATATCCTGGCCAGGTACAATGGCACATGCCTGTAATCCCAGTATTTTGAGAGGCCCAAGTGGGTGGATCACTTGAGGTCAGAAGTTCGAGACCAACCAGGCCAACATGATGAAACTCTGTCTCTACAAAAATACAAAAATTAGCCTGGTGTGGTGGCACGTGCTTGTAATCCCAGCTACTCGGGAGGCTGAGGCAGGAGAATCATTTGAACCCAGGAGGCGGAGGTTGCAGTGAGCTGAGATTGCACCATTGCACTCCAGTCTGGGAGACAGAGCAAGACTCGATCTCAAAAAAAAAGGAAAGAAAATCCTGCCTCCTTCCTGTTATAATGGAAGTAGTAACTCCTATTTAAAGCCCATCCGCTTCTTGTCTTCTGATTCCTCCCCTCCTGCCTCTCACAGTCTCATGACATCCATCATCTCCCATCTCTCTTTTTCCTTTAACTTCTCTTCCAGCTTCAGCCCATCAGCTCAACTGTCTCCCATTTGATTTGTAAAAAAAAAAATTCCTCCAAAGGCCCCATTTCTGACTCCAGCCCATCCCCGATCTCCCACTGTCACATGTCATGGAGGAGTGCAGGTGTGCACATCCACCCCCTCTACCTCCTCCTGGTGCTTCTGCCCACTGCCGTCCGCCTTCCACCCCATCACTCCACGGACCACACTTCCCCCAAGACTGCCAATGCCCCTAACTCATTATAGACAGTGGACACTATACTTATCCTCTAGGCATCGATTTCTGCCATTGACCAACAGCTCCTTCCTGAAACCCCTTCTTCCATGGCCCTCCACGGCTGGACGCTGCTCTTTCTGCCTGGATGCTCCTTCAGTCTCCAGCGCCTGCTCTCCCTCTGTCATTCACCTCTTGTGCACTTACTGCCTTAGAGTTCCATCCTGGGCTTTCTGCTGCATGTGGTCTACAGGTTTCCCTGTACCCCTTCCATCCTCAAAGTACCCATCCATCGTCATGCAAAAGAGCAAATTAGAAGAGCAAGGCCTTTGCTCTCCAGAAGTTTCCATCCTAATATACAAAGACAGACCATAGATAAGCAATCAAATAAATCCTAAGATAATTTCAGATAGTGGTAAGTGCAATGAAGGAAATAACTGGAAGAGCATATTTTAGGAAGGGGAATGAGAGAAGGCTTCTCTGAGGGGGTGACACAGAAGCTGAAAAAATAATACCTCTGGTTACAAAGAGCCAGTTCTGAGATAAGCCAAGGAAAAGCATTCCAGACAAAGGGAATTTACAAGTGAGAAGGTCCTGAGATGAAATTCTGTCCTGTTTCAGAGAGACAACAGGAGGTCATGGCATTTGATGAGGTGGCGGCAGGATGCTGGAGTCCAGTGCAAAGGGCCTTGTAAGCTGAGATGAGAAATTTGGATTTTCATCTAAGTGCACAGAACAGCTATGGGTGATTGCAGCAGCCCTTCCTGTGGATTTCCTACAAAAGCCAAGTGCTTTTTAAAATGCAGGCCAGGTGTTTCCCGGGCCGAACCGGGTTGGGGGGGGTGCGGGGGGGGTGCGGGGGGTGGTGGTGGGGGGGTGCGGGGGGGCGCGGGGGGGTGGGGGGGCGCGGGGGGGTGGGGGGGTGCGGGGGGGCCGGGCTCTAGGCCAGGCTGCAGCTAAGACCCGCAGTGGCAGCATGAGTGAAGGGGAGCGGGGCGGGGGAGGCCTTGGGCTGCTTTGGGCGGCGGGTGGGGGCAAGGGGCTGGCGGGCCGGAGTCCCGGGTCCAGGCCTGGGCTTTGAACCGCGGTCTGTGTTTCCCCGCAGCGCGGCCCGTCCCGTCCTCGCCATGAGGCCGCAGCAGGCGCCGGTGTCAGGAAAGGTGTTCATTCAGCGAGACTACAGCAGTGGCACACGCTGCCAGTTCCAGACCAAGTTCCCTGCGGAGCTGGAGAACCGGATTGATAGGCAACAGTTTGAAGAAACAGTTCGAACTCTAAATAACCTTTATGCAGAAGCAGAGAAGCTTGGCGGCCAATCATATCTTGAAGGTTGTTTGGCTTGTTTAACAGCATATACCACCTTCCTATGCATGGAAACTCATTATGAGAAGGTTCTGAAGAAAGTCTCCAAATACATTCAAGAGCAGAATGAGAAGATATATGCTCCACAAGGCCTCCTCCTGACGGACCCCATTGAGCGAGGACTGCGAGTTATTGAAATTACCGTTTATGAAGAGGCATGAGGAGTGGAAGATAAACCATAGAATTAAAGATCCCACTTCCAGCCGGGCCCCTCATGTATCCACTGGCCGACCGCAGAGTGTCCCTACCTCCTCTCCAGAGCATCATTCCTTTCTATCTGCTGCCAGAGACACGGTGCCATTTACTCCAAGGACTCACTTTCTACAATTCCACACCTGGAGTGACCTTTCGTCGCTCAGCATCCACTTTGTGTCTCCAACTTGTGTAGGACTCTGTAATATTCTGATTAGTTCCTGAGAAAACGCAATGAAGCATTTCACTTTTTTATTCAGAGCCATTTAATAAAACACGCAGTTGGTCAAAAAATAAAATAAAATAAAATAAAATAAAATGCAGGCCAGATGCGGTGGCTCACTTCCATAATCCCAGCACTTTGGGAGGCCAAGGTGGGTGCATCACCTGAGGCCAGGAGTTCAAGACCAGCCTGGCCAACATGGTGAAACCCCATCTCTACTAAAAATACAAAAATTAGCTGGGTGTGGTGGTGTGTGCCTATAATCCCAGCAACTCAGGAGGCTGAGGCAGGAGAATTGTTTGAACCCGGGGGCAGAGGTTGCAGTGAGCTGAGATCATGCCACTGCACTCCAGCCTGGGCGACAGAATACAACTCTGTCTCAAAAAAAAGAAAAAGAAAAGAAAAGAAAAATAAATAAATCAATAAATAAAATGCAGGTTTGTTCTTATCCCTGCCTTGAGGAAATCTCCCCAGTAGCTTCCTACGCTCTTAGGAAGGTCTGAACCCTTGAAATACAGGGCAAGCATGCCTGCTGCAATCACTGCCTGTATCCAGGTCTGTCCTTGTCACAACCCCCTTGCTCTTCATGTGCTAACCACAGTCTAGTAGCTTCAGGTCCTCAAACACAGTGGGCTCACAGTGAACTCCAGACAGTGCTGTCCAAGAGAAACATACTGTGAGCCACATGTACAATATTAAGCTTTCTGGTAGTCACATTATGCAAATAGAAAAAAACAGGTGAAACTAGTTTTTTGTTTGTTTGTTTGTTTTGAGACAGGGACTCACTCTGTCGCCCAGGCTAGAGTTCAGTTATGCCATCTCAGCTCATGCAACCTCGGCCTCCTGGGCTCCAGTAATCTTCCCAGCTCAGCCCCACCAAGTAGCTGGGATTACAGGTGTGTGCCACCATTCCTGGCTAATTTCTGTATTCTTTTTAGAGACAGGGTTGCACCATGTTGCCCAGGCTGGTCTTGAACTCCTGGGCTCAGTCAATCCCCCCGCCTCAGCCTCCCACAGTGCTGGGATTAGAGGCGTGAGCTACCGTGCCTAGCCAAAACTAGATTTAATGATAGATTTCATTTAACCCAATATATCCAAAATATTCATTTTAACATACAATCTGTATAAAGCATTTGATATTTCATGTTCTTGCTTGTATACTCTTTGAAATCCAGTGTGTTTTGCCTTTAAGGTACATCTCAATCCGGACCAGCCTCATTTCAAAGACTCATCAGCTGCTGGAGTCTCGTGATTTCTGCACTGGACAGACCAGGCCTAGACCTGAAGCACTCAGTCCCCTCACCTTGACCTCTCCTACCATCCTCCCCATCTCTGCCTCCTGACTTCCCCAGATAACAGCTACTCATCTTTCATAAATCAGTAACATCTCCTCTGACTCCCTGAACCAGGAAAAATCCCCCTTGCTCTGTGCTCCCAAAGCACCCTGCAATTCTGTTTCACAGTCCTCGCCATGACGTAACTGTGTTCCTCATGGTGTTGTAAGCTCTATGAGGAGCACATCTGTCTTGTCCAGAGCCATGTCCAGCCAAGGGCCTGGCATGTGAAAGTTACTCAGGACACACTGGATGACATACATTGAAGTTAGCCTCCAAGGTCTTAAAAACAGTTCCCTATCCTTCCATCATAAAATTTCCTCAACAGTCTCAGCCTTATTAATGGGATTTGATCATAGTTTTCAGTGTTAGGGATCACCTGGTTGAAGAACAAAGACCATAGAGATTGGACCTCTCGGCAGTGTCAGGAGACATAAGTTACATCTTCTGTTGTTTTATTGACAGATGCATCGTTATATAAGTCATGCATGTACTTGTTACAAAATTCAAAAGGTACAGATGTGAGGAGCAAGTCTTTCTTCCACCCAATTTCTAAGCCATCCCCTTTCTGGAGACTACAAATATTACTCATTTCTTATATTTACTTCTGTTTGCTTCTAATGGAAAAAAAAAATCATCTCACAGACTAACATTTTTCAGTTTTCTCAATAATGCGAAGAACGAAAGAACCAACAACCCTTCCCTAGGAGACACCCTTTGGACTATTGTCTGCTCTTGAGCATGTGCTACAGAATTAATGGATTTCTTTACTTTCATTTAAATGAGGAAGCAATAGAATTTGCAACTGATTTTTTTTTTCGCTATGGGAATTGAATTTTTTAAATCCAAACAATTATCCTTAGTTGAGGTCTTTTCCACTAAAATATTACCAATCACTAAATGGAGTAGACAATTCTTTAGGCTTATGTATCTCTGGCCATGCAAGGAGCATTAAATGCCCAAGTCTATTCTTTTACGTGGCGTAAGTGTCAGTTATTATCGTATCTATTTCTAAGAAGGAAATCTTCAATACAAAATGCCTTGACCAGTCAAGCACAGTGGCTCGAATCTATAATCCCGCACTTTGGGAGGCCGAGATGGGAGGCTTATTTGAGCCCAGGAGTTTGAGACCAGCCTGAGCAACATGATGAAACCCCATCTCTACAAAACATAAACAACAACAACAACAAAAAAAAAAACCCAAGAGCTTTGACCAAGGCTGAAAGATCATGAAGGGAACACTTTCAGGCATATGATTATTGATTTTTTATTCCATTCCAGTCTCCACAGCCCCAATCCCTTGCTTGTATCTCTCTGGACCTAGCAAAGCCTCAGCAGACCCTACAAAGAGAAATGGAGCCAGAAATAAAAAAATTCTGAGGGCCCATATGCCCTGATTCTTCCAGTCCCCTCTTCCCCACCTTTGGCCACTCGGGTAGCTGCAGAAGAGGATCTAAAAGAATCACAATTGGTTCTGCCTCTTTTATCATCATAAGAATGCAGGTCTGAAAAAAAATGTCTGTTAAACGTACATTTTAAAAATTGGTCACAATCAGGACAGGTGTGGTGGTTCATGCCTGTAATCTCAGCACTTTGGGAGGCTGAGGCAGGCAGATCACCTTAGGTCAGGAGTTCAAAAACAGCCTGGCCAACATAGTGATACCCCATCTCTACTAAAAATATAAAAATTAGCCAGGTGTGGTGGCACATGCTTGTAATCCCAGCAATTCGGGAGGCTGAGGCAAGAGAATGGCTTGAACATGGATGCCAGAGGTTGCAGCGAGCAGAGATCATGCCACTTTACTCCAGGCTGGGTGAAAGAACGAAACTCTGTCTCAAAAAAAAATTGGAAAAAATCTTTCGTATTTTTTCGAAAGGCACATGTGCGTGTGTGTGTGTGTGTGTGTGAGAGAGAGAGAGAGAGAGAGACAGAGAGAGAGAGAGAGAGAGAGAGAGAGAGAGAGATACAGACGGGGTCGGACTCTGTTGCCCAGGCTGGAGTGTGGTGGCCCAGTCTTGGCTCACTGCAACCTCTGCCTCCTGGGTTCAAGTGATTCTCATGCCTCAGTCTCCACAGCTGGAGCCACAGGCACTCACCTCTACACCTGGCTAGTTTTTTTATTTTTAGTAGAGACAGGTTCCACTATTTTGGCCAGGCTGGTCTTGAACTGCTGACCTAAGGTGATCTGCCTGCCTTGGCCTCCCAAAATGCTGAGATTACAGGCATGAACCACCATGCCTGACCTTCAATGGTACATTTTTGTAGACTTTCTACAAAATTAATTTAGCAATATGAAGAAGGAATCTCAAAAATGCCCATTCAAGGGACTGGCCTAGGAAAATCACTTCTTTATTGTACCTTAAGGAAATAACCCTAACATGAAAAAGTTTCAAGCAAAAAGATGTTCATTGCAGTGTTATTTACAATAGCAAATAATTGTCATATGCTGAAAAAGTAAATTAATGGCAAAACAATAATTTGAACTAATATTACTAAGATTATATGTTAATTTATAACAAAGCTGATGCCATAATTAATACAAAACAAAAAAATAAAGACTTAGAACATATAGAATAGGAACTGGAATGAAGAAAGACTTACTATTCACCTCTGTACCTTTTGAATTTTGTAACAAGTACACAGTATAAGATTAGAAGAAAAAAGAGTCCCCTGGGTCATTAGACAATGGGTAAACTTTTGCATTTACTGTATCAAATATATAAATACATTAAATAGTGTGTTTGAGGATAAGTTATGTGAGTAAAATGAAACAGAGAAAGAGAAGGAGAAGCACTGGAGAGGTAGGGTTTATACTTTTTTTTGGCTGTTGTCCTAGGTTTATTGAAAATAATACAGCATTGCAGAAAAGATTCAAACAGGTCCCCGAGGCATTTTGAAATTCATCCCATTGGTGGTTTGAGTGACCTGCAGGTTGGACAGACTGCTGAACTCCAAAAGCTTCAGCATTTCCTTAGCGTCAGGATCTACTTCAACGATCTCCTGATCCAGGGCTGAGACCTCAGGAACATAAGTGTCTCTCCTTTCTCTGTCCTCCTCCTGCAGCTTGATGGAGAGACCTCTGAATCCACTTCATCAGACGGGTGACATAGCCTGCTATCTTGCTGTGGAGCTTCTTGCTGGGGATAATGACGGTCTCCTAGCACACGTGCTTGTTCGTGTGGAAGTCATTGCCCAGCCAGGCACTTGTAGTACTTTTCTATGACGACTCAGGCCACCTTCTTCACGGTTTTGGGGCAAACACAGCCGATGTTGGTGGGTCCTTGGTAAAAGAGGCTAAAATTTTATACAGAGTGGTCAGGAAGGCATCACTGCCAGCATGAGATCCGAGAGAAGATTTGAGCCAATGGAAAAGAGCTTCCCACGCAGTGGGAAAGGAAGCGCAAAGGTCCCGAGGCAGGAGCAGGCCCGGTGTGTTCCAGGAGCAAGGAGGGGTCCGTGCGGCTGCAATGGAGGGAGCACAGTGGGCGCTGTGGAGATGCCAGAGAGCCACAGGGGCTGGTGCAGGGCCTGTGGGCCAGAGGGTCTTTGCAGTCACTCAGAGAGAGAGGAGCCATTAGCACGTGGAAAGGAAAGGAGTGACAGGATCAGGCTCAGGCTTGAGCAGCCTCCCTCTGGTTGCAGGTTGAGAATGGACAAAGCGGTTGGCAGGAGCTGGGAGCTGTGGCTGCTGTCATCTAGGCAGCTGAGAAATGGTGACAAAACCGG